AATCCCTCGGGTGGGTTCCTCCGGGAATTTCTGTAACATGTATTTTCAGATTCAGATTCAGTCATACATATAGAAATGACTGAATCATGTACTGCAAAGTGTAAGCCCAAAGCCTAATCCATGTTATCTATATGTTGTTTCTATTTAATCCAGTTACTGATTAGCAACTGTGCAACAATCAGACTAAACTAAAGACAAACAATATATCTAGGCTATCATGGGGCATTCAATTCTTAATAGTGTAGCTTCTCTCTCCTCTTTCCTCCCTTCATGTAAACCTTTCAATTTGCAGGTTGCTGACTTGTACTGCTCTGCCTGCAAGTGCGCTCTGTGTGAGGACTGTCTTCCCAACCATGCAGAACACCCTAAGGTGGCCCTCAGCCAGGCCCTCGAGCAGCACCGCAACAACCTGCAGGAAAGACTGGGCACTGTTCAGGACAGGTATAGGTTGAAATACTTGATACAACATTAAGAAACTTTATTCAGTCCATTAATCTGTGCCCCCAACAAACCCTTATGTTAAACTGTTGTGCAGTGGTGCTAGTTTCCATTTATCAACAAAAACACACACAAAACCCCTCCAAAAACTTTAATGCTGAATTACTTTTTAAAAAATATATATATTATAAACTGCAGAAGTAAGCCAATGATAAATATCAGCTGGAGTTTATTAGGATTTTATTATTTTTATATATTGTATATTTTTTTAGTATTTCCCAAAGACCAGGAGAGGGCTCTCTCATTAAGAGTCACTTGGGCAATGCTCATTGATTGTTTGTTGCAGCAAAACACAGATGTTCCCTAAATGCCTCACATTTGTTTAGAAAAAAAAGATAGAAGAATAAAATAGAAGAGTGACACTGTGTCTGGGCCAAGGACTTTTCTCAAGAAAGACAAATAATCTCTGGAATTTAATTTAAAAGCTACTGTGGAAATGAGATATTCAAAAGATTTCTTAAAATACATACGGGCTTGGGTAGAAAGCTAAAGAAGTTACTAAGTATTTATATTGAAAATACCCATCCATTCATGTAGGGAATTATTAGTAAACAGGGAGTAGTAAATGTAGGTCCCACATTCAAATTGCACTTCAAATACTAAAAGTCACATTTTTTTGTTTGCAAAATTGGAAAAAAATAAAATACAAATCAGCTGATAGCATTTAATTCTTGTAGCTCCAACAGGTACAAATGTATTTGCTGTGGAGAACAAGTTGCATAACAACTGACATATTCAGTTAAAGTATAATGTAGGCATACTTAATATAACTCAGTCACAAGTAACTATTAACAGACAGTGGATGGAGGAAAGAAGAGATGCTGACATCTGGTGGACAGTGAGCAAAATACAGTACAAATGATTTACCAGGCTATAAAATCTTGGCATTAACAATAACATGTTATTAATTGTTCTCAATTAAAAATACAGGTTGCATATGTAAATATTTAACAACATAAATGTAGCATAAAGAAAGCTTGCTATTGTTGTTTTGCAAATTAGATATGTAACTGCCTTTCTCTTTTGTGCGTGTCCTCTCTAGACTCCCTCAGATTTCAGATGTACTGTCCTTTGTTAAAGAGATCCACCAGCAGCTGACCAATCAGAGGGCTTCCATTGAAGAGGACATTCAATCGAGCTTCGAGGACTTACACAAGCAGCTGGATGTTCGAAAGAGTGTACTGCTGATGGAGCTGGAAGTTACATACGGACTCAAACAGAAGGTGTTTGTTTCCTTTGATTCTTTGGTAAAAGTACAACCTCCTCAGTCACTGGTATACTTCTTTAAATAAAACAAATCAAATGAAAAAGTCTGAAACAGTCTAATGAAACTTTTCTTTTTCTGTCTCCAGGTTCTCCAAGCCCAGATAGACAGCCTTCTACGGGGAGAGGGGGACATCACAGCCACCTGTACCCAGGCAGAGGAGGCTCTGGCTGGAGATCCCTGTGTGGCGAGCCTGCAGTTGGAGCGAGAGCTGTGGGAGAGGCTGGGTGAGCTTGCTGGTCTTGGTTTGCCATGCCAGCCGGAAGAGAACGACCAGCTGGATCTGGTGATGGAGACAGATGGGTTAAGGAAGTCCATACACAACCTGGGGACTATTGTTACAACCAGGTGAGACAATTCAAATCAATTTCAACTCAGTTTTACTTATTTAATGCCAAATCACAACAACAACTGCCTCAAAGCAATTTATATTGTAAAGTAAAGATCCTACAATAATATAGAAAAACAGAATAAACCCAAAAGTCAGGCAGCCCTGTATGAGCAAGCATAGGGGAAGGAAATGAAAAGGAAAAACTGCCTTTTAACAGGAAGAAACCTCTGGCAGAAGCAGGCTTAGGGAGGGTCAGCCATCTGCCACACTGGTTTAAAGTGAAAGGGGAAAGACAAAAGACAGTGGAAGAGAGCCAGAGATTAATACTAACTAATGATTACATGCAGAGTGGTGTGTAAACACATAGTGAATAAAAAAGGTGAATGGAAAAAAAGAAAACAGAAACACTCAGTGCATCATGGGAACACCCCAGCAGCCTAGACCTACTGCAGTGTAAAACTTAAGCGTTTTAAGCCCAATCCTAAAATCAGAGAAGCTCATTGAGACTTGTTTGTATCATTTATGCACAGCTCCCTATAAGGTCCCAACACAGCATTTCAGTCAGGCTGAAGACTGGAATGGGCCATTGCATCACCTTGATCCTTTTCATTTACAGCCATTCTGTTGTACATTTGCTGCTGTGCTTGGGAACATGACTCTGACTCTGAAGAAAATAAGAGCAATCTATAAAATCCGCTGTATACCAAAGTATTCCAATCAGTGATAAATAGCAAGATGTTTTAGCTGTATGAAGGTCTTTTTTTTTTAGAGAACAACAAACTGTTTTTCCAAGCTAAATTGTCATCATCTAAATTATTAAAGATTATTAAGCACCCCAGCTTATCAGCTATCTGCTTTAAGGTGCATTTTTGAAAGTTATACCAGGAAGGCAATTCTGATTTAAGTCTTTCTTTGTCAGAGGAGCTACAGTATCCAGAGTCGTACGCAGTGACGATATAAAACTATTAACAAGATAACAAACTCTGTAAAAGCAGAGTTCAGGTAACTGCTCTGCACTGTGTTGGTATAAGGCACTGAAGAAGATGCAGCTGAGGAATTATATCCATGGCCGACACAGTCTCTAAGGGGATGGGGTTTTGGGGCATTTGAATGATGATGAAACATATTGAACCCTGTGGTTTTGGATTTGATGCCATTTCATTAACACTCGTCTTTCTTCTCGTCCTCAGTGCGGTGGCAAGCCAGAGCGAAGCCATGGGTGCAGGTCTTGAGCAATGCATTGTTGGGCATCCTGCCTCTGTTACCATTGTAACAAGAGACAAGTCAGGGGGAGCCTGCAAGAGTGGAAATGCGATCCTCTCTGCTGAGGTTCATTCTACACCTAAACTCCATAAAATTAAGTACTACTCTGTGTTCACACTTCAATGCAAACAGTGACAAAACATTATGATGTGTCGATGTAGGTATTCACACCAGACGGCAGCATAGTAGATGGTGAGATAGTGGACCACAAGAACGGGACATATGAATTTGTGTACACGGTGCCAAAGGAGGGTGACTTCTCACTGGCTCTCCGTTTGTACGACCAGCACATCAAAGGAAGTCCCTTCAAACTGACTGTCACCAAGACTCTAGAGGCTGAACTAGACGTAGGTGGATCTTTCTTTCAATATTAGTGAATTTCTACTGTCCATTTGGCAAATAATGTCTAAATTCCTTTAATATCAACTGTGATATACACCAACAGCCTATGTACGGCTCATTCATGTCCAGTGTCCTTTAGCATCTGTGCTGAAGGACACTGGACATCAGGACCTGAAACATCAGCTTATGACATTACTAAGAAGAATCTGACACTCACTTTTTCATTATTGTTATGAAGGCCTAGTCAAGTAGTTTTGCCTAAACCTAAGAGGTTGTTAATCCTCTTCCCATCAAACGAAACTTGCATTCAAGTATGTACAATCTCACTGCAAAAACAAAAGCTCGTATTGTTGACCACGTCGTGCTTGTCTCTTGAAGTTCAGAGTTCTTGAGCAACAATGATTCAAGCAACATGACTTAAGCAATTATAAAACCTACATTTATTTGATTGAGCTTACCCTAAATTCATCGATACATTGACTTTGGCAAAGGATGTAGGAAGCTTTCCAAACAAAAACCATATAACCTTCATAGTTACTGTGTATTGTGTTTCCCTTTTTGCTCTCTCTCCAGGTTTCTCCTTCTACAACAACGGCAACCAACTCAGCAGCCAATGCCACGCCATCGACTGGCTCATCTGAAGGAGCAAAGAGACGAGGAAAGTCACCTGGTCAGAAGAAGAAAGGCTCAAAGAGGGCCAGCAGTGCCCTTGGTACCCCACGGCGCAAAACTC